AAAAAAATATAAAAAGAAAAAGAATGGAAGCAAAACAAACAAAAAAAAACAAACAAATGATGAAAGTATGAAAAGGAAAGAATGACTGGAAGTAAAAAGAAAGAAAGAAAGAAAGAAAGAAATATAGACGGATCTTGAAGAAGGCCAGAGTGTATAGCGGCCGAAACGTCGTGAATATGGTTGCGAAGGTGAGGACAACTGTTCGAAAAATGTAAAGAGTGTAAATAATTACAATACCTGATCTCAGAAATATTGACACGCCCTGAAGAAGACTGCAGAGTAGAACGACCGAAACGTCTCGAATATAGCAAGGCAAATGAGAGAAAGAAACAAAGAAAGAAAGAAAATATTTAAAAAAAGAAAGAATGGCTGGGAGCAAAAGAAAAACATTATAGACGGAAGCAAAACAAACAAACAAACAAAGAATGAAAGTATAAAAAAGAAAGAATGACTGGAAGAGTAAGAAAAATAATAAATGGAGGCAAAAGAAAGAAAGAAAGAAAGAAAGAAAGAAAGAAAGAAAGAAAGAAAGAAAGAAAGACGCAAAAATGGCAAAAATTAGAATAAAAAAAGAAAGAAGCGATAGAGAGAAAGGAAGAATGTTAAAAAATATGTAAGAGATAAAAAGAAAGGAAGAAAGAGCAAAAATAAGAAAGAAAGAAAGAAAGAAAGAAAGAAATGCAAAAAGTAATGAGAAATAAAGTAAATAGTGTTCAAGCACAGTTGAAAAAAAATGCTGTAAGTATGATAACTATCAGGATAGCCTGTCCCTGCGCATCTGGATGATAATTATCAAGGTAGCCTGTCCCTGCTCATCTGGATGATTAGTACCACGCCATCATTCTGTTCTGTGAAGTTAGAGATAATTGCAAGCTCATTTGCAATGTCGGTTTCCATGAGGCATATTGGCGGGTAAAGGAAGCTCTGAATATGTTATTAGATTGAAGCCACTGTTTTCTCTCTCGAATTCCATAGACCATAACTTTTGGGAACGAATATGCTGCAAGTGTGTCACCTTGGAGAACACCTGCGAGTAATTTTAAAACTCTATGTTTCTATCTGGAGAAAATATTTAAGCTATATTGTTTTGGCATAAGAGGCTTAAAAGCATAAACTCTCTTTGCTGGCTTTCATTATGTCTTTATAACTTCATATATTTGTGTATTGTCGAATGGTAATATTGTTTCCTAATAAGAAAACGTTTGGCATTTATTGACCGAGCAGCCAGTGCTACTATTGGTTGAAATTGATAAAATCTCTTCCAGTTTCAGTTGAGTTCCATTTGGTTGAATTAAGTGACTTTACCAAAAGAGTTGTGAATTCAAATCCCTGACTATTGTTGAGATGAAAAAAAAATCCTGATGAAGGCCAGAGAGTAAAGCGGTCGAAACGTCGGGAATAGGGCAATGAAGATGAGGACACTAGTCCAAACAATGTAAATAGTGTAAATAATCACAACATCTGATCTCAGAGGTATTGTGATTATTAAGGGGAAAACAACTGTTCGAACAATGTAAAGAGTGTAAATAATTACGAGACATATCCTGAAGAAGACCCAAGAGTAAAACGGCCGAAACATCGTGAATATAGCAAAGAAAATGAGGACAACAGTCTGAACCATGTAAATAGTGCAAATAATTACAATACCTCTTTTCAGAAATATAGACAAATCCTGAAGAAGGCCGGAGAGTACAACGGTTGAAACGTCGTGAATATGGCAATGAAGATGAGGAGAACAGTCCAAACAATGTAAATAGTGTAAATAATTACAATACCTCATCTAAGAAATATAGACGGATCATGAAGAAGGCCGGAGTGTATAACGGCCGAAACGTCGTGAATATGGTTGCGAAGGTGAGGACAACTGTTCGAAAATTGTAAAAAGTGTAAATAATTACAATACCTGATCTCAGAAATATTGACACGCCCTGAAGAAGACCGCAGAGTACAACGGCCGAAACGTCTCGAATATAGCAACGGAAATGAGTCTGAACTAGGTAAATAGTATAAATAATTACAATACCTCATCTCAGAAATATAGACAGATATTGAGTTCCATTTTAGTTGAAAGTTTTTAAGTGACGGGTTTCTATCATTTGGTACAGTACTTTGTCAGTGATTCTGCAGCGCCTTTGCACAATGATCGAAGAAGCATTGGACTCCATAAGACCTAGAGGCTTCATTCTCTCGAAGCCATTATTAATCATTCATCTGAGAAAAGAGTTGTGTACATTTAACAGTTATTTCTGGACGCTTGGGCGCTTTTCATGGCATCCATACGAGTGTGGGTTATTTAAAACATTTCGAATTATTAGACCAATGTTTTCGTTTTGTAGCAACATGAGGTGTTGTGTAAAACTAGCGATAACGCAATCCATTCTATGCTCAATTTATCTTCTAAAATAACGTGTTATGGCTGATCCATACAATGTGCTATTTGAAGTGTTCAGTATTTACTAACTACACATGCTGACTTTTTATGCTTTCATTCCAAATCCTTATCACTGCTGTTTTAGAAATGTATATTTTGAAGAACACTTAGTAGACTTCTTGGAACAATTCGTAAAGAATGGTAATTCTTGATGCCAAGTTCATTCTTATCTCAGTAATGAATATCTGTATCTTCGGCATAGCTCCATCATAATTTCTACAGTCTTCGATACTCGGACATTTGGCCTACAGACATTTAACTGAATGGACATTTAGCCGAAATTGTAGTGCTGTACTTACATGTATGCCACACTCTAAATCGTAATGTGCTACATATATTTTTATTTATTTACTGTATTAATTTATAATTCTTCTTTTTTTTTTACAGGCTTTGATTAAAAATGTACTCTGTATATATTATATTTTACTTCAAGATGATAAGTATTTTGAGAAAAAAAACACCTTTTATTACAGCAAAAATCTGAAGCTTTTACGATTTGAAAGATCTTTCAATTTCACTTTTAATGATTATCATCTTAAAGGATGAACTAGCTTTTATCTTACTGTTAAATAAAAATTTACATAATTAGGTGCTACCTTTTAGCCAAATACACTCAAATATTTTTTAAAATACTTTAATCAATAAGGAGGCACGGTGGAGTAATGGATAGCGGCTCGGATTGAGCCGAGTTCGAGTTCCAGTCGAATCCATTATATTCACTTACGTGCTAATACCCTATGAGTCATCTTCTTCTCCTCCCAGCTAGGGGTAAAATAGCAGAAAAAATGGCAACCTACTGCGGGAAAAAATCTGCCTCGTCACTGATGTACCGAAAGGTACATGATCGCCTAAGCGTGTATGACGCATAACTGACTGAATTTCAATAAACAAATATTGAAATAAGAAAACTTTTAGATTTAGTAATTTAATCACTTGAAATTCAGTGGTAACTATTAGTCCTATTCTACCTTATAATACTACTAATTAAAATACTTAAAGTATTGCCTGGTACTATTTTTACTTGGACTTTTTCGGTGAAATGTCTGTCGGTCAAATACCGTTCGGCCAAATGTCTGTCGGCCAAAAACAGGTTTTTAAATTGGTACGTCAAAAAAAAAAAAAAAAAAAAAAAAAAAAACGCCGGTGCCTAAGTATAAAATGCATTTAAAAAAAAAATTATCTTTTATAACATGAAAGAACTTCAATTTCGCTTTTAATGATCATTATCTTAAAGGGATGAACTAGCTTTTATCTTACTGTTAAATAGGAATTTAAATAATTAGATGCTACTTTTTACCCAAATACGCTCAAATATTTTCAAAAATACTAATTTCAATAAAAACAAATATTGATATAAGAAAACTTTTAACTTTAAATTTAGATTTAGTAATTTAACCACTTGAAGTTCAGTAGTAATTATTAGTCCTATTCTACCTTAAAATACTACTAATTAAAATAATACAAGTATTGCTTGTTACTATTTTTAGTTGTAATTTTTCGGCCAAATTTCTGTCGGCCAAATGTCCGGCCACGACTGTATTTGGAATGGAAACCAAGACTTCTTTTTTCCATTAAAAGATTTTATTTGTGATGTGACATTGAATAGTTAAATAATCCGTGCCCATTTCTTCATATCTGTGATTTAACGAAAAGTGATACTGAATATAGTTGTGTTACCTTTCGACTTTCCATAAGTCTCCTCAATATGAGAATCTTCGATGAAGATGACCTGTCATCCTGAGAGCCCATTTGCTGTTGCCTGATTAAAGGATTCAGCTATGCTCTTATCTTGTCTAGCAATATCTTCCGAGTCTTTGTAGGCTCCTAGTAATGTTCGTCTTTTTTTCTACCACCCCGTATTCTGCCATCCATTTACGTAAGCACGCCAGGTAGGTGGCCTGCCATCTCCTCCCGGAATATTAGCAAAAACGTTGTCAAACTACTGAGACATGATGAGAATGGCATGGGTGGAATATGTGAGCAAGGAAAAAGCATGAAGGGCAATACGAAAGAAAAACGAATTAGAGACATTTGAAATTTCCGGTACATTTAATGAGGAACGAATATTCTTGCAATATCGCAGCTTGTTGGGGTGAACAAAGACGAATAAAAATAGAAGACAAGTGTATTTTAACACATAATAAAACAACTTTTATTCATTTACTGCCTGAGAACAGCAAGGATTTATTTGAATTTAAACCATGGTTTCCACGTGCCTGTCAGCTTATCACCATGTTGAATTCAGAAGTGTTCGCTCCAACTAACAGACAAGGGCAGTAACTCAATTGTATTTTGAGTTATTGTCCTTTATAGGGGAAGAAATTAGCTTCCCCTAGCAGAAGGTTTAGCGAATTTGACATTCACAGGACAAAGCAGGAATGTGGGAAAGATCAAGTAACTTACCTAAAGAAATTGTGTAAAAAGATGGTCGAAAAGCGAGTGGGAAGGATCGTACTGGAACGAATATTGCTTACAGATAAAGATGTTGTTGAGAGATAACATCTCCCACGTCCTAAGGAATCGTTCTAATCCTCTATTTTTCATTGAGCCTTGTACCTGACGAATGTAACTAGTTGGAAATCAGCATTTTAGATTCTGCAATCCCAGTATAAAAAGAATAGAGAAAATAAAAGAAAGAAATGCAAAAAGATAGAAACAAAAAAACAAAAAAAGAAACAAAGAAAGAGAAAGAAAGAAATGCACAAAGAAAGAAATGCAGAAAAGCAGAAGGGCAGAAATGCAGATAGATACATAGATAGATAGATAGATAGATAGAAAGATAGATAGATAGATAGATAGATATGAACAGACTGAGATAGATAGATAGATAGATAGATGAGATATGAACAGAATGAGATGAACAGAGAGATAGATAGATAGATAGATAGATAGATGAACAGATAGATGGATGAAATGAACAGAATGAGATAGATAGATAGATAGATAGATAGAAAGACTGATAGACAGAGATAGATAGATAGATAGAGATAGATATGAAAAGACTGAGATAGATAGATAGATAGAAATAGATAGAGATAGATAGATAGATAGATAGAAAGAAAGAAAGAAAGACAGAAAAAAAGAAATGCAGAAACAAAGAAGAATAAAGAAGTGCACAAAGTAAGAAATGCAGAAAAGCAGAAATGCAAGAAGAAAGAAAGAAAGAAAGAAAGAAAGAAAGAAAGAAAGAAGGAAAGAAAGAATGAATGAATGAAAGGAAGATGAAAGGTGACAAGTGGAGAATATTGAAATGTTTCAATGAAGAAAGAATATAACAAAACGGAATAGAGAGAGAGGGTGAAAAAGTGAGAGTGACAAGGAAAACAAACAGAGAGAGAGAGCAAATCGGAGAGAGCTAAATTTTCTTTTTTCTCTTTCCTTTTCTTTCTTTTTCTTTTCATTTAGAGAAGATTTTTAGATCGAAATGCAAAAGTCACATGGCATCGAACGCGGCTGACAGAGTAATTCCTTCTGACGGTGATCCATTTCAAAACACTTGCAATGTGGAGAACCTTACGGTAAGGTTGCCAGGCCCGGGGCGGGGGGGATTTAAAGTTACAAGTGGCAGGTACAAAGAACGAAACTGGAGTGTCCAGCTATCGAGATAAGGACCAAGGCTGTTTGTTTCGATGGCAACGCTGATTGGTTGGTTGTCTCGGGAAGAGCGGGGTTCGATAGATCGGTTTCGGATAGATTGGCATCTGAGTATTTGTGCTCTCTTCAGATGGGAGGCTATCAATGTCCACAGTCATTGGGCGTTTGGGCATGTTTTTTTTTTGATGATCAGAGAGAGAGAGAGCGAAAGAAAGAGAGAAAAGGAGAAGGAAGAAGGAATGGAGTGAAGTAGACAGTGTTAAGAAATCGAAGAGTAATAAAAAAAATCTTCAAAATTAACCAGATCGGGAAGTCTCTCAGGAAATCTTAAAATCGTGGTCCTAGCAAAGTAACAAGTAGCTGTATATTCTTGATTTCATCATGCTCTCGTAGTAAAGCAATAACATCATTCCTTCTCTCTCAACGACCCAATCTCCGTAACTCCCACCACGTGCACAAATACATACACATGCACACACACAAGTTATGAAGAATTTGGTAAACCGAATTGGTAAATCCAAGGAGGATGGAATCCTGAGAGCTCAATGTGAAGAACAGAGCTAATATTTAATGAACAACAGACATTTAAGGTACCATTACAATAATTTATTTCACCAAAATCCTTTTTAAAGGATTTTGGATCATCAGGTAACACTTCCAACAATAAAGGATTTTGGTGAAATAAATTATTGTAATGGTAATTTTAAAGTGTCTGTTGTTCATTAAATAATATATATATATATATATATATATATATATATATATATATATATATATATATATATAGCTTACTTTTTGAGCACTTTTCACCGTTTCACCCCAAGGCGGGAAGCCACTAGGACGCAAGGGGTTACAGAAAAATTTGTAGCAAAATCAGATAGGAGTGATAGAAGAAAGGATGAGGAGAAGGGTAGTGGATAGATCAAGGCAACTGGAGATGTCGATTGACATTACATTTGAATAGCTTGAGATTATAGCTCTCAGGGAAACTGGACTAGGGAAGGGAGATCCACAGGCGAGAGGTGCGAGATATGAAGCTATTGGAGTAGAAGAGACGGCCACATTTAGGAGTTTCGACAGTGAAGGGGTGAGAGCGTGGTGCCAGCCCCGTAGGACGCTTGAACTCATGAAGTCAGGGAACCAGCGAATGCAGCTCCTCGGATACAGTTTCGATTCCTGTCGGAGGACGAATATTTTCTATGAAAATTTCTCGGACATTCAGGCCGTTAAATGTTGTTTTATACTGTTTATTATAAACAGAGCGTTTACTTAAATATTTGTATCTCTAAAAAGAATGTATAAACATAAAAATGTCTTAAAGTAATTACGTTCGGACTTTGTCAATTTCATAGTATATATATATATATATATATATATATATATATGGGATAAAGTGCTCAGAGATAGAGCGTATATAAATATAGAAGTGAACATTGAAGTCAAAACTCAGAGGGGAGAGGCTGTTTAATGCTAGAGGTAATCGTCAGGTGACCTGTCGATTGCGCCTAGAATGGAAAAGCCTGTCGCGCCTGAGTGTTGACTTCAATGTTCACTTTTATATATATATATATATATATATATATATATATATATATATATATATATATAAAAAAAGGTGGCAAACGTTTTTTGGTTGTAATGTGTTTTTTTTTTTTCAGAAAAATTTTTCTAAAAAAAAAAAAAAAAAAAACACATTACAACCAAAAAAAGTTTGCGGCACCTCTTCTTTCTTTTTTAATATACATACTTTTCTCTCGTTGGAACCCTACAACCTCTTTCCTTTATATATATATATATATATATATATATATATATACTAGCAGCATTTGGCGTTGCCCGTGCTTGATTCAAAAATCGTACGACTCGTACAGCAATCGCTATCACTTGACTTAAAATATTTTTGCCCTTCCTTGCCTTTAAAGGAGTGCCTTTTGCCGTGCTGATGTTGCTACATGCCTTACTTCTTGCCTATCTCACACTGCGAATTTTTTCTAAGCTCTATACTAAACATTAAATCCGTTACGAAAAAAAGAACTAAACAAAATGAACACAAAACGATCAGTTTAAAAAAAGGACTCGTAACTGGAAAAACCGAATGAAAAAAGAATGTTAACAACAAATACTTTTTCACACCCAACCCAGTTCTGCGGAATCAGAATCAACGTTGAATTTAAGCAAGTGAATTAGCCAATTGGAGTAAAGTGCCATGCAGATTTAAATTTTTCCCACTTGTGACGAATGTAGCTATCGATTTTTTGCATGCTAGCATGCTAGTTAAAATTCTTGTCAGTCAGCTGCTGGCTCTCACGCTGGCCAATAGAATCTTCCTGCCTATTCGTGGCAGCCAGCTATAGACTCTCACTCTGGCCAGTACAGAATGACCACAAACTACATGAAAACTTCTGTAGAAGCATGAAAAAATCGATTATTTCCACTATGGGAGTTGGGAAAATGCAACGCCGGCCTTGGCCTTTCCGCTAACTTGGAGCAAATCCGACGAAAACTGCGCCGTGCATTCGTTACACACACATCCTGCCTATTACATATATATATATATATATATATATATATATATATATATATAACACAATAAAAATATGTTGAAATCGCTACACAAAAGTTCTTCAGGCGATGGTAAGTAACTGGTGATTAAATGATTTTTAAGGAAATTTAAAACCAAATTTTTACCCCTTTTCTGAAAGTTAGAGTGGGGGAGGGACATAAGTTCAAAATTAAAAATGGATTTGTAGGTATGTCTTGGTTAACCAATGAAATGTCAGATCTACGCTAAATAGGAAACTAAGGTCAGAGGGTGCATTTGGGTGAGTTATTTTTTTCATGTCACGATAAACCGGAACATAGACATACCATTATTGACGATTATACATATATATATATATATATATATATATATGTGTGTGTGTGTGTGTGTGTGTGTGTGTGTGTGTGTGTGTGTGTGTGTGTGTGTGTTCCTGTGTGTGTGTGTGTGTGATTCCTGGTCATGGCGATAACCTACATACGATAACAAGATTTGCGGAGCCGGGAACCACCTCTTAAATGTTGCTGCTCTCATTGTGGGCAAATAGTGATCCCCACCAAAGACAATGAATGAATAAAAATACATTTTAATAGTACAAAAATGTAATACATTTATATATAAAAACAAGTCCAATACATATAGTGAAATGAAAATGTAATTGAAGGCATAAAAAATCAACTAACCAACCATCTTGAATGAACTTTCAGAATATTAATCCATATAATATCCTACATTTTTTTTTAAATCAAACTGTAATATAACTAAAATATAAAACACATGTATCGCCGCCTGTAGAAATTATGTCCATACAAATATGCGTAGGCACAAAAGCTGAGCATCACCTACCATGTATCCTATTGTGAAAGCAGAATAACATATATTATTATTACTTCAACTCTTAAATTTCGATGCTCTAAAAAGGTTTGGAAACTCAAACTTAACTTCTTCGACTAGATTTAATGCAGTTATGTTGAATTTTAAATCCAATTGATTACATAGAATTCGAGAAATATTTTACCAAAAGCCACTATCAATTTACAAGAGAACATCCATTAACAATTAAATCGCTGTTATATAAATACTATAATCTGATTATATATGAAGGAAGTTTGGGATTTAATTTCTAAGAACTGGGAATTTGGACATTCATAATTCAAAGAGCAGGAGAGCCCATCATCATCATCATCATCATCATAATCATCATCATAATCATCTTTATTATTGTTATTTTTGTTGTTGTTGCTATATGAAAATATATAGATATAATGCATATAAGTGAATATATATATATATATATATATATATATATATATATATATATATATATATATATATTGGGTGAGCCAGAAATGTACTCTGATTTAAATGTCAATAAATACTGTTTATTGACCTACAAAAAAGATTAATGATTAAAATTAAGAAATATTAATATTTAT